GTGAACGATAATTCGCTGGAAGTATAATGTGCGATTTACATCTATCATTTACGTACATAATACCGATGGAACTTTGACCAGCGACCGCGATGATTGAGTAATTTAGAAGAGTTCCAATGGATTTTGATGATTTGCTGAAATCACTTCTGACACTCGCAACAGCAAAAAACGACCTGATAGTGAGTCAGTTCTTTCAAGTCGTCACGTAACGCGTCTCCTTTAATCTGCTCTACGGTGTTCGCGCTATTCTCAAGCGAAACAATGCGCGATTTATAGAAAATGTATTTTGTTTCTGTCGCGATGAAGATGACGACGACAACGGCAACGACGAAGACGACCATGACGACGTAGTCGTTCCTAGCGGGTGACGCGATGTGTTGCGCGCCCGTCGACACGTCACTGAAACCTTAACGTAACGGAAAGCGATTACGCTCGGTTTCGCTCACACACCGGCGATGACGCATTAATCGCAATGACACTTTAATACCGGAGAAGACGTGGGGTATTTATGCGTTGGCTTTATCGCGCTGCAAATATTAACGCACTCCTGCGTGGACTCGCTCGCGACTAAACACGAGAGCGCGGGCGCGCGTTCAAGTCACGTTCGGGGAAGCGAATTTGTTCTTTGCAGAGTAAAGAGCAAACACGACTGCAGACTGCGGATCGTACGCGCTTCTGTGTGCGGGTGTGTTAACTCTTCTGTAAGATGTCAAATTCGAGCGAGTAACAGTCGCGCGTCATAGCTGACTTTGACAGTCGCGTAAAATTACAATTTTTGCGAAATAATATCACCTCATTACACAATAGTAGAATCGGCTAAAAACCGGTTATGAATGCGTCGCTCGAATGCTTCGAACAGTTCGGTTCTTGAGCGATAAGCCACATTTCGTCGTGTAAAATTTAACCGCGTTATATTATTCAATGGAAATCATTCGCCAGTAAGCGGTCGGGAAAAATCGATGCTGAACTGTCAGCGAGCCTAACGAGCCGTTATCAATTCGTCGGATATCACCGATCCTGAGCTACACTGACCCATCACTTTCTGCTTGATCGCACGCGCGCAAAAAATCGTTAAACCAAAAATACAAACGGAGAAAATGAAAATCTCGCAATGAAAACTTCCTATCTTAAGCATCGCGAACGTCGCACAATGGCACGAAATTACTAGTGTTTTATAGCGCGCTCAATCGATGCGGCAGTATAATAGCTCGGATAAATTGTTATTTTTAGGAATTTTATTTTTCCAGACCTTTACTCACACTGTTTGGCGATTTCGTCCACGCGAGCGTCCGAGAATTTCCGCGTGAACTCTCTGTTCAACGCGTCAATAGTGTAAAACTCGGTTCATCATCGAAATGGATTTTCAATCAGTTTAAGTCAAAAGAAACATTGATTATAGCAGCGACGAGAGAATAATTTATTGTATTATCGGATGATTGAAATAACGCGACAAATAAAAGGTAATAATGATGGCTTTGCGTACCTCCATCGCTCTTTTTTTTCTACATCCACGTTAATATGATTATCGTGTCACGAAACGATAATTGAGTGTCCCTCGTTACGTCGGACGTTAAGTGATTTTCTTTTCAAATTTATATCGGACGCGTTCAAAATTTTCACGTCATCGCGGTCACTTTCAGCTCATTAGCGTTCTTCTCTTCCCTGAAATTAGTTATCTCTTCGAGATAGCTGCTGGATTTTCGAGGAATGCGCGTGCTTCTGCTGCTCTTGCCATCAACATTCAATTATCTCATCAGATAAAAACTACTTTCGTCGGCGATAATCCGTGACTAGCGTAACCCAATCCTAATTGCTATGATAAATCACACGTGCGAGGTGCATTTAATTGTCGATTCGCGAGCTTCCTCACATTATCAGTCGGGAAAGCCGTAGACTTAGAACGCGAAATGAAAATTGAAGGGGATGGATATCGCGCGCGGCTGTAAACGCCGGGATTTGATTTCCAGAGGCAACGCGTGAGACAGAATTTTAATTATTCGTTTGTCCTACGGAAAATTGACGTTGCTCGCAATTTCATCTCTTTCTCCCTCTCCTTCCATCTCCCGTCCCTGCCTGCCGCTTTTTTTCCGCGACCCATACATTGTCCTCTCTTTCTCCAGCACTGTTCCGTCGATGGAGGCGTCGGGAAATCAATGTACCGTTCGTTTAATTTCGCGCTCGAATCGCGGATAGCTGCGAGCGCGAGAATTTTAAAAAATATTTTGGAAAAACGTGCGCGTCAGTGTTGCCTAGCTGCGGCTCACTTTAGCTTGTTTTCGCCAGAGTAGCGATCACAAATCTGTACTTTCAGCTGAACTGTCTGAACTAGTGCAGACTGCTGCAATAAGTTAGACAAATATATTAATAAGTGAGACAAATATATTTTGCTTCACTCTCTCTAACTTATTGCACCAGTCTGCGCCAGTTCAGGCAGTTCAGTTGAAACGTTTCACGTGAACTCGACAACTTTAGCGATCACGTAACTTCTCGAATAATGGGAACAATGAAAATTTTCACGTACTGAGACAAAAAGGTGCTCAAAAGCGAGACCTTGCTTGAACGAACGAAATTCATTGAAATAAACGTTTTGTCGATTGAACGAATTGTATAGTTGCTATAATAAATTATGTATCAATCGATTCAGTGATTCGATCAGTAACTGCATCAACGCAACTTATTATTGCACCAGCGCGCGTGATTTGTTCGACAGATACAATATTTCTTTAGACGTGCGATCGCCGATTTTGTCGATTCAACTGCTTTGTGTTTCCTCAGCGCGTGCAACTTTTCACGGGTTCGCACTAGGAGAAAGGATACATGATCGATACCCAGGAAACGCCGGCAACCCCGGAGAAAACGGTGCCTGTCGTATCTCCAGCGACCCTGCGTGGAACATGCCGCTAATTGAATCCCGAATGAGAAGAACTCGCGTCTCGTGTTCGTGGGTCATATTCGATGGATTACACGCGACACAAACACCGGCTATACAACCAGTACGTCACTTCCTTCGGGCGCAGCCCGCGGCAATATTTGCACCTTCTGTCGTCGGCGAAATTGCAAACTGCCGGAAGCGGCAATTCCGAAATATCGTGTCGACACGCACGGACCGTGCTTTTGAATAATTAACCACTGTCAACGGCGCGCGGAGAACGTCGCTCTCGAACGGGTGTCTAATTAACCTTCCTTCGGTGCTCCGCAAACGCGTCCGCCGACAAACGCGGTTAACTTCGTGACGCGGCGGCGATTCTCAAAGGCCCCGCGTCCTCACCGCGCATTTAGGGGCTAAATGTGGCCGTCTCGACTATAACTTTCGTACTCGTAACTCTTCGTGAGAGTGCGACGCAGACTGACAGTCTTTACATTAGATTTATGTGACTTTAAGGGGAACTGTGTACTCCTCGTGTCGATTGACGGAGAAAGAGGCGAAGAGGACAAAGGGAAATCCGACATCTTCTTTTTAGCCAAATATTCCACTCGGCCACTTAGTCTCGTTAATGAAGCTGTCACGGGTTCGAGAGAGAAAGAATAGGGCATTAATAAAATAATTGTAACGTAAGATTTTCTCAACGAGACACCAGATGTATCGTCACATACGAATGCTTCAATTCACCACCAGAGTCCGTTGGGATATTCAAACCGGTACAAGAGTTATTCCCCGAGGGCTTGCAGGGAGGGAGGGAGGTTGGGCAGCTGGTGCCGAAGCCTGGCGGGGGAAACAATTTCGCGAGTAACTCTGAATCGCTCGCTTTACGATCGCGTATACCGCGGCGCTATACGCGTATCTCGAGGAACCGACGGACTCACGCTGCCGATCGCGTAAACGCTCCTGTTTACAGTCGAAGGAGCAATAAACAGCAGCGTGATACACAAACATCGGCGACGACTTGCTCGCCTGCTCTCGCCAGCACGCTCCAACACACGACACACAACGCTCTATTCTGGAAGCTCTGTGGAATTCCTTTCAGGGCCGCGCATATAAGACGATCGTTCAGCGAGGAAAACGTGATTATGGCCACGACGACAATATACGGAGTACATGCCGGGAGAAAGAGCGATTCGAGCGTGTCACTGTTTCCAGGAATTCTTCAACCATCAAAAGAGACACCGCCGTGGAATTTCGTCATTGAGAAGTCGTGCGCAAGGTAGCGAATGGGGAATGCGAGAGGCACGAACGAGGTGTTAATGCGTAGGAGATACGTGGAACTTAACACGATGTCTCTCGATTGATCTTACTAAATGTTAATGTAAAGTCGCGTCGACGGGAGTGACGTACGGCCCGAGAATTCTGTCGGACTTTCGAGCACGTTGGGAAACACAACGCGGGCGATGGATCGTTGGGAAATATCTCGGCGTGATGAATTTTCCGACGAGTCTGGAGGTATTTCGCGAGAACGAACATTCGGCGAGAAACCAAAATTTGGTCTAGTGACTTTCGACTTGTAACACCAACCGTCAGATGAACAAATTTTCGTTGAAGCTTCTACGAAATATATAAAGCGCGAGAAATGAGATTTTACTGTTATGTATACATACGCATACATATATAGGTTTTTTTTCTTTATCAAGCGATCATCCTGCCCGTCTATAATTTTATAGCTCCTGAGGCCATCGTACCCACTCTTACTTTTATGGCTTGATAATTACCCTGTAACCCTAACGTTAAATAGCACCACAAATTGGTAATTTTACTATGTTGCAAGAAAGAGAGAACGAATATAAACATTTATAGGATTCACACGCGCACGCACATATACACACGCACTTTTAAGTAGAATTTTTATTGCAGTGGAATTCAGGTTTTCCTCGAGAGGAAAGATCGACCGGCAAATTCCTCGAACAATCTAACACTATTTCTAGGTAGAAGCAGACATCCCGTAGAGCATAATTTTGTTCGTGCACCCCGGGGAATCCTCTAGGCGTGCCGAAAACGGCGCATCATTCCGTTCTTGGAACTCTCGGGTTTTCCTACGAAACTGCATTTTACACGTAGAGAAACTCACCGTAAATACGAGGATAATCCGCGTGCTGCCAAAGGTTACCGTTTCTTCTTTCAGTAGCAGTTCACTCTGTGGCACATGTCACACAAAAGCAACGACGTTGTCAAATAAACGTAGGAGGAGCCGGAAAAGAGCCGACCACACGGTTCCCTTTTCACTTTCGTCCCGTCGCCTTCCTTTTCCTCTTTTCTTCCTTTCACGCGCCCCGAGATCCTGCTCTCAGATTCTCGCGCGCGCTTCTCGACCGTTGCCGTCGTCGTCGTTAGGTTAGGTCGCCGGTTCGTGTCGCGCCGGTAATCGTATCTATACCGCCAGAAAATCCGGATCTGCTTCCTTCTCCGTCTCTCTTTCACCGTAGCGCTCTACCGACTCTCGACCATACATCAGCCTATCCCTTTTTCACTCACAAATCGCGTCCTTTACAATGCGGAGGACGCCCGACGCGAGCAGGTACGTTACCACACCTTTTTTGCTCTCTTCTCTATCTCTCTCGCTCGTTTCCCTTTCACTTCTTCGACACTGGAGATCGTTGGGATAGAAAAGTATAAAAAAATCAAAAAACAACGCACAATACACACGGATCGTGGATGCGACGGGCTTCGTGCGAACGTGTTGCGATTTCACCTCTTTATCGCGAAACTCGTATCTTCTTTCGGGAAATTGTATCGCGTCGTTCGGCGGCGCGAGAAATGCCGGATTTGTCGAGAGATCTCGCTTGATCTGGGCCTGAGCACACTGGCCTTCGCTGGGATCGCGTTGTCAACGTTGCCGGGAATAACGCGCGCACGACGCCGGGACACCGTTCTCGTTGCTCCGCTCACTCTTCGTCTCTCTCGCACTGATCCTGCCGCCGTCCTTTGTTCCTCACGGCTCGACCGCTGCTACGTGACTGACCGCTTCGTGCGCGCTCGTAGTGCACGAGCCGCACCGAAGACGCCCGAGGAAGGATCCCGACGGTTCGTCGATCGGAAACGACCCTCGACGTGGAGAACCGAGGGAGAATCTTTCTTTGTTCAGGCGAGACCGAGCGGCACGACGACGACGACGACGACGACGACTCGTAACATAGTTCGCTCTCGTCCTTTTCCTTCCTTCCTTCCTTCGCTCTTCCTCTCTCAGTACCTCCTCCCCCGATTCCTCTCTCTCTCTTTCCTTCGTATTATTTTGATCCTTCCTTTTCGCTCTCTTTCGCGCGCATATATATACATATATATATGCACACGCTATACACACTCCTTTCTTTCTCTCTCACACACTCTTTCTCTCCCACTTTCTCTCTCTCTCTCTCTCCCCTCTCACGCTTCGCGGCGACGATGTGAACGATCGCGCGGTCTGTTGGTAACTGAGACGACGCTCCGACGGCGGAGGCCGAGTCGAGCCACGGCGTCGAGACGCCACGGTGAATGGTGGGGGTGTTCGAACGACCACCGCCACCACCATCACCACTACCACCATCACAGCAGTCGCCGCCGCCGTTGCCGCCACCACCGCCATCACCGGTGGTGTTCTCCCCCTTTTCCCCCCATTGCCCTCCTGGACGGCGCGCAACACCCTCATCGTGCGGCATCAACCCGGCGCGACGCGACGCGACGCGGCGCCCGTTGGCGTCATAACGGGTGGCCGGATCGAAAGAAGTCGCTGATGGTAACGATCGATCTGTCGCACGCGTGACTACTCGACGTTCGAGACGATAACCTTGATCTTGATCTGCGAATTTCGGAGCAGCCGCCGGCGGTTCATACGTCATGGAAGTAATGTCAGGGCACATGTGAGATGAGTATCTATTCGCTGCTGGAAAATTTAGGAGGACCGGGACGACGTGCTTTTTCGTCGCGCGCGAGAATTTAATTTACTGTGGTATACACATATGCACACACACACACATACACGCGCGCGCGCGCGTCGTCCGGGATGATTCTGAAAATTCACCGTGGCGGTCGATGACGTCAGCGCACAGCTAGTAATAAATGTAATAGAATCGACATAACCACTTTGTCGATAAGCGTGCAACACAGGCGCATTTTGTGCGGCGCCTTGCGATAAATAATGCAGGACTGAAGCAGCAGCTGGACAATCGAACGTAAAACCGTAACCAATTACGGGCCGAGAATACAGGTTTATCCATGCCATAACCTATGATACAGTGTAGTTGCCGACGGATCGATAACACCCCTATCTATTACCGCAATAAAACGTGACGCCTTATCATATTGTCTTCCAGGGCTTTTCCTCCCTTGGTTTACGACCTGTCATTCAACTCCATCACATTTTTGCGATATCGCATTTTACGCCAGACAGAAGATCTCTATAATATATTTACCGCTGTTATTTTAGACTCCCTTTTATTCCCCTACGAAATATGCAGTTTAGCGAAAAACGGTGGCTTTACAACGAAAAGATACGAGAGAGAAAGTGGAGGGGAGAGAGAGAGAGAGAGAGAGAGAGAGAGAGAGAGAGAGAGAGAGAGGGAGAGAGAGAGAGAGAGAGAATATCATTTAACTTGAAATCTCATTTAACTTGTAAATCGATGCACTTCGCGGTTCATAATGACTGCACGTAAAGTATTAATTATCACTTTAAGTGGTATTACTCCGTTGAATCTGGAGTATCGAGTGAGGATGTAAAATTGTGCTTAGACCAAGAATTAACGTTGTGGAACTTTGTAACAATATGTATTTTGCGAATCATTTGTGGAATGGCCGCGGCTGATGCAAGCATGAGAACATCGGGCGCGTAACCCGCAGGTAAAGATGAGGGATAGTGAGGAAAACTATGCCCGGCCGTTGCGAGGGAATGTTTCACCGTGGGAAAATTTCCTGCGCGTCGCGGTTTTTCTGTTTGCGTGGGGATCGCGGTTTTGCTTTCCTTTCGTCGGGCACAGCAACGCAGCGTTTATCCTACCGTGCTACTGCTATTTCGCTTCACACATGTCTATGCATCGCGCACGGAGAGTCTCTGGTTGAATTAACTCGACGATGAACGAACCAAATGTGTTTTGGTCGGAGGAAATAAAAGCTGGTATTAACACTTATTATTTGAAACTCGTCTCGAATGATACTCAAATTTAAATTCACTCTGAGAAAAAAGACTTGAACATTTATTTCTGGCATATATAAAGTTTATTTCGCAGAAATAAACTTTATTTTTCTAAATTTCCATGAAATAAAGTTTATTTCTGTCAATAATAAAGTAAATGATATATGACATTTATATTCATAATTGTGATTCAACTAAAAAACTCTCATTCAACTCTGCATTAAGAAGAAGATGACTTAAAAACTTATTTGTGGGATATAAAGTTTATTTCGCAGAAATAAACTTTATTTTTCTAAATTTCCATGAAATAAAGTTTATTTCTGTGAATAAACTTTATGTCCCACAAATAAGTCTTCAAATCATCTTCTTCTTAATGCAGAGTTGAATGAGAGTTTTTAGTTGAATCGCGATTATGAATATAAATGTCATGTATCATAATTCAACTAAAATTTCTTCATTTGGATTTAAATGAAAATTTGAATATCTCACACGAGACAAGTTTCAAATGGCAGCTACTAATATAGATAAAAATTTCTGCTCCTTAGAATTGATTTGTGCTCCTCCTTAACTTCTCCTCAGAACCAGAGATTCTGTTCCTTTCAACTAAGACGCGTTTGGTTCATCCATTGTTCAAGCTAATGCAATCGAACTTTTTGCCCCGTGCACGATAATTCAGCATGAGCGCATTACTCGCGACTGCACTCTTTACGCCGACGCTTCCGATTGTTAGCCATCAAAATATCGTTACACCGGCGATATAATTAGAGAAGGTTGCGCGATTAAGAGGTAATGAAGTGCAAACGCGATTATGAAACCGGAGAGTGCATGAAATATTGCAGAATCATCTCGCGCACGTGGAGCGTAACGTGGAAAACAATGTTGCAACGGCACGTTATATAATGACCGCTGCGAAGGAAGTTTTTGCTCGAAATCAAAGATGTATTATGGAGATGATGTTATGTCGTGGCAATATCATGATAAAATTCGCATGCTTGCGCAAACACATCTATCCTCTCATTTACTCTGCTATTCGCGCGCACATACGCGCGGAATGTACCAACGTGATGTATCATACATGAGATTCGTCGTGTCGTGAATCGTGTAGCAGATTCTTTCGTTTATTAGGAATAAAGAAAAGGAGCGCGCTCTCCGTGCAATTTTTCAAGGGATTTCCTTCGAGTGCGCGCGCACGAGCTCCTGGCACAAGCTCGGATGTTATTTCGTGACGTAAGGAAATACTATCAAGGTAGGTAGATTATCGTACAGAGGGGAGAATATTTCACGTGAGCTGACACCCATGAGAAAACAGGCCCGAGAAAGTCGGGACAGACAAACAGCCGGGTTTCTTCTCGTCGCGGATTTGAGAGGCGGGTTATCGCGCACGACAAGAGAGGTCAGGGAGTCGTTGGTCGAAATGAGGCGAATCAATTATACGGAGGTGAAAATCCGCGGAGAACAGTCGCAAACGAACCGACGGTTCGGCGGCAAAAATGTCGGCAGAGTCGTAACGACGAAAGGGCGATGACGAATGAAAGCTGACACTTTCTTATTCGAGGGGGGCATAAAATTAAAGGACTCTGGGAGTATTCTCGTGGCGAAAAGGGTGTCTCTGTCGTTACGCTACACCGTCGCGATAACACAGTCATTATTTCATCGCGTTTACGCGAAAGAAAAACTCCACGAGAGATTCCGGTTTTACAAGAACTTTTTACAACTTTTCTTCTAAAACTGCTGTGCGTTATCTGCATACAATTAACTTCTCACTTCTAAAATTTGAAAAAGAAAATAGATATGATTAGGTTTGTAATTGTTCTTAGGACATCCCGAAGAATGTTTTGATTGCTTCAAACGCCAGAATATTTCTAAAATCGTGATTGAGAACTCTAAAACCTTTTGAAGAATAACTAAAGGTATTAATAGTTGCCACTTGAAACTTTCATGCGAAAAATCCTCAGATTTTTCTTTAGAGTAAAATCTTTAATTATATTATGATATTGATATTATATAATATATATAATATCATATAGGGGAAGGGGTGACAGTATGATTGCGATTCCACTGGAAAATTATCATCTGACTCTGAACTCAAATCTGAACATCTCACTTAAGAGGAGTTTTAACTACACACACACGCACACGCACACGCGCGCACACACACACACATATAATGACTATTCTCTAATTCTTTTCTTTATTTTGAAAATGAGAAGCTAATTTAGCTGGTTATGAGAAGCTGGTTTATACGTTTGAAATTTATCGGAACAATCGACGGGGCACGGAATTTGCCGAGCTGCTTATTAATTTCGGAAATAACGAAGAAATATCTCATCACTTTCTCGTGTCCCGCGCTTGCTTTTATGAATTTCGAATTTGCGTGACGGATAGACGAAGCTGATATTAACTCGCGTCACACGCGTGACTTTCCAATCATTCCGTCGGCTAATGCCGGCAATATTGCAGACAGATGGAAACAAATTCTAATCTCTGGACGTTTAGCCATGAGCGCACTCTTATTGAACTTCTCCATTGTGTTTCATATAGAAACACATATAGAAACAACGGAACACGGAGGATATACGCATCTGACGTGTTTTATAGAGCAAAATGTAGCCAAGTTTACTTCCATTGGATTTTAAGTTAACGTAAAATACATACAATAGCGGCAAAGTAACGTTACAAATCGCCCGATTGGCCGGGCGTTAAATTATGACACGCGTAACGAGTTTTTGCCTGCGTCGGAAGAATGGCTGTACGGCCCTGAGTCCCGGTCGAGCAGCGAGGGGCACCTGCTCCGGATCCGAGAGACGTTACACGCAACGAACATACCCTACGTATTTTCTCTGGTCGGTTACATTCCGTTTCGTTCCAGGCAAATGGGTACAAAGGACAGCGGCTCTCAACTCGCCGGACAATCATCGGGATGTGTGTTCAGAGACGGCCGGGAAAAAGGTGAGCACAGAGCGAAATTGAACAAGTGCAGATGCATCTCCCACGTATGAGAAGACTCGTGTGCCGACCGCACGTCTGGCGTTAAATGTGACCGTCTGATCCTGAGGTCTGTTTATCTCACACAAAGGTAACAACGCAATTAGAATTATGCCCCGAGAATAATCATACGCGCGCATTACAATGAAATGAGCGTGGATCTTAGAATATTTCTTTCAGACTTTGACCATTTTCTTCATGTAGTGTCATTTATTTTCTGTTTCGTGTTAACGGGTTTCTGCGTGACTACACGGACAAAATTTTATAGTACAAATTTCTATAGAATTTTGTAACCAAGAAATAGATTGACAGTAACTCCTTTCATTTCATATGTGGTATTTATATTTTAGAAACTGTGAATTGTTAAGAAGTTTGCTATG